ATGTCTGAATCCTATGCTGCTTTTAAATTGAACTCGTTGCTATGTCTGAACCTAGGTACTATCTCACTTCAACACTTTGATTCACATGTTCCTCTCTAATTAGAATGCCTTCACCTGTATCTCCACCTATCAAAATCTTTAACACCCTTCTAGGATCAGTTCAAAAGCCTACTCATCCAGTGAACTTTTCCAGATAAGCCCTGTCACATATGGTATATCTTTCACTCACTTTCTCTTTTGAGCCTCTCTAGAATTCTCTGTTTGTATCTCTTAAGGGTGTTATCACATACTGTCCTGAATGCTATTAGTATACCTGTGTATTTTCCCTATTATATCAAAATCTCTTTATAAGTATGGAACATATCTTATTTATCTTCTTACCTTACTCAGTGATGCCTGCAGAACCTTGCATATAGGTTCTAGTGTAGAGCATTATACATAATGAGTAAGTGTACAACACATGATTTGTTAAATGAATGAATACATTTTTGTTCTTCTGTTTGTCTTTAGTTCATCTTTTGAAGTAACATCTTGAAAGCAGGTTCAGCTCACATACAGAATATCCCATAGTGTTCTTTGTATGGACCATTGCTTTCACCTAGAATATTTCTCAGCTTTTTTATATTAAAGGGTGAAATGGAAGGTTAAGAGTTAGAAGCGCATTTGATCTTTTCCTGACCCTCTCCTGACTTTTGTGTGACTTCAAGCATGTCACTTGAACCTCTCAGTGACCTCAGCTGTGAAACAGGGCTGCCTGGTGTCACAGAGGGATTGCGAAGAGAAGCAAATCATAGTCTTTGTCTAAACAGAATCACCTGCAGGGCTCTGATGCCTGTATAGAATGATGAAGGAAATTTAATTTCCCAAGTCAAGTGGTCAGTTGGACCCACACTTTGAAGGTCTGAAGGAACAATTAGATGAGAGTCCTTGAAAATCTGTTACTTTTCTCTTCCTACTCAAAATATTTCGAATTTTATCCTTCTAAATGTTTTTATTGTTTAGACAAAAAAGCATATTGTAATGTTTCTCTTTTCAGACTTCAGAGGTGGGAAGAAATGCTTTCAGATATTTTAAAAAGAAGTTGAGTTTTGGGAAGAATAAAAGTACCTTGAATTTTTATTTTATATCATTGAATTTAGAAAATTTTCTGCCTCAAAGAGAATATTTGGAAAAGAATACTAATCACATCTTAAAGATAACCATTTAATAATGACCATATGTAACTCATGGAATGTGCTTCTAACTGGCTCTTTGTTTGGTGTAGGTAGGCAAGACGATTGGAAATAAATAGAGCAGAAAACAAAAATACGCTTAGCCATCTTGCTAACAGAACCTTTTTATACCATTAATGTATTCTATAAAATCTTTCAAACAGCAATGCTTGGAGGATTTAATACATTTCCCAGTATTGTTTTTTTTCTAATTGGGAAAAATCCATCTAACAGGAAATTTCTTAGCATTGTGTATCGCATGTGCTGATTATCATTCTTTGACTGCTTTGGGATTCTGCTGCTTTTAAACTAGCATTTAAATGGGCCATTTGATTAATCATTTGTATACTGACTGTAATCCTCCCAAATTTCCTTTCTGAGTTGTACATACTGTAAAAGACAATTATGTCGCCACAGATTAAATAAGTGAATTAAAACAGAATAGCAGCTTAATTTGACCTGTGATTTTGCTCTCCTTCCCTTTAGTGGAGCGTGTGCCACTCCAGCAAATAAATGAAGTCGTCCATGACAGCTTGTGATGAATTGCCGTATTTATACTGTATATTTTAATAGCCTCACACTAATTTAAATTGAGCACAGAGTAAATTATAATTCAGTCACTTGACTGCTTATATTTAACTTGACAACTCATCCTTATTTGTCCTGGAGGTGTAGTGGAGAGCAGTGGAAATGCACTCAGGTATTTCAGTTTCTCACTTAACCCTTTCTCCTTCATATGAATGCTTCATATTCTAATTCTCTCCACTTTGAAACATTAAGTGCTTCCTAAGAAGAAAATAATAACGAAGATGACTCAGGGAGTCTTTGGAAAGTATGGCCCTGAGTCTTTGTTGTTTAGTTTCTCCATTGCCTTCAAGTAAGGAACTGTACTTACTTTTAGCAATTTTAAAGCTCACTCACAGGAATGCCCAGGGGAAGGAGAATTAACCTTCCACCTAGAGTGCCAACTCTCTCAGAAAATACAGAGCATTCGAGTAGTTACTTTAAGGTGGTCTTTACTTTCCTTCCACCTAGAGTGCCAACTCTCTCAGAAAATACAGAGCATTCGAGTAGTTACTTTAAGGTACTTTACTTTAAGGTACTTTACTTTAACTCTTAAGTTCTCAGAAATTACTTTATTCACTTTTCCACCATTATTGAATTTCCACTATTCTGGACTATGGCAAATACTGAGAATAATCAAGACCAAATAAGAGTGCAATGGATTAGCACTGCAAATACAGTATTCCTTGCTACATTTTAGGTCAGTATGGCCCTTTTATTTATTTTGGTGTTTATGTCTTTTTTTAAAAATTCAGTTGTAGAAATCAAGCAATCTATTTCTTCTGTCTAGAAATACCTTCTTATTTAAAGGATTAGGGTTGTAAGGAGTACTTTAATTAAATCCCACATCACTTAATGGGCATTACTGTGAGTAAGACCTTATGCTGGGTGCTGGGGGGATAGAAGAATGTTCGAGACTCAGTCCTTGCCCTTAAGGGTCTCACCGCCACTCTGTATTCTGGAGGCTTCTGTTTTTAGGAGATAAGGGATGAATGCTAAAGGTGGAATGTGATAAGGAGAAATATTAAGGGCTAGAGCTAGAGATGAATTCTGATGGAGGGCTTTGGGATAGGCTTCGTACAGGTGGTGGTGACATTCAAGCCAGATCTAAAAGATGAAATAGGTTTTTATAATCAGTGACTGGAGTGGAGAGAGGATGCACATTCCATGTGGAGGGAACAGCAGGAGCAAGGACTAGAAGTGGCGGAAAGCACAGGACATGTGTTTGGACCAGGAAAAATCATCTGCTTTCACATGAGGAGTGGGTTTGTGGTGGGGAGGAGTGGGAGAAAGAGTTAGAATAACAAGTTGAGCTAGATTGTGGAAGAATTCTTTGAGTGTCCTTCTGGAGTTTAACTTTATCTTTGGCCACGGGAACCCAATTGAGGTTCTTGATTAAGGGAATAATATGTTAACAGCCAGTAGTTTGGAGTTAATTCCAAGATGTTGGCTAGCTATGTGGAATCATGTCATTTTTAGTCTGGTGGCCTGGAGATGTCATATCTTGGTAGTCATATATCTTAACACTGTGTAAATAGCATTTTTGAAACCTTAAGTAAGTGGTTCTCAACCTTACTTTGGGTTTGAAATCACCTGAGGAACTTTTTAAAAATGAGAGATGTGGGCTCAACCCCAGAGATTTCGATTTCATTGTTCTGGGTGAAGGCCTGTGCATTGGCATGTTTTTTAAAGTGCCCTAGGTAATTATAATGTGAGGCCAGGGTTGAGAACTGCTGCTTTAAGGGCAATAATAAGTTCATTCCTTTTAGCAGAGTTTTTTGGAGTGAAAGATTCCCTCTACTTGACAGTGTTGTAAGTAGCTGTAATGTTTTATGGCATAGAATTGAAACAACGCTAGATGAATTTTGTTGCTGAGTTTTTATACAGGAACAAAAATGTGAGTGAATATTGTTGGCAAATGACTATTGATCAGGAGAAGTGTTTAAATGTTTCTTGGCAGTTTTGTATTACCCTTACAATCTAGTTTAGTGAGAGGTTTTATAAATAACCCTAAAGCAAACTCCTGATAGAAACTAGCTGTCTTTTTTTCTCACCCTCCCCTCCACCCAATAGATGTCAGTACTATAAAATGTCAGTTTTAGAATTGTCTTTTTCTTTCCTTGCTCTATCAGCAGTTTGCAATTCATAATTTATATTTTTTCTCCAGTATGATTATATATGTTTTTCATTTGTAATACAAAATGTAACTCAGTGTTGGATGGTGTTATAACTATGCTATCATGTTAATCTTGAATGTTAAGTTTTTACCTAGAAATGTCGAGTCAGAAACTCTGCCATAAATCTTAAAAATTGTCTTCCACCTGTTTTATTCTCATCAATGTCTTTTAAAAGTAAAAAACAATTACCCTTGAATTGGTTTCACTGAAGTACTTAGTAAAATCTGAACAGTTGGTGGTCTTTTTTCTTAAAAAAGAAGTGTTTCAAATAAACTAGAATTTATTCTAGGCAAAGTTATAAACGTTTTACATTTCTTTGTTACAAATCTGACTCAGTGGTTGATATTTTAAGGAAAACTATAAAGCATCAGGAAGTACATGGAAAGCACCTGGGACTCAGAGTCAGAGGAGGGTTCTTACTATCACCAGACCCTGTGGCTCCTTGGACGGAAACCTTGGCTTCCTCCTCTCTGAAAGAAGGGAGTTAGATGAAATGAAGTTCCTTCGAGTTCTAACATTCTGTACAGTATTAACAGAGAAACATTACCCAACTGGAAGAAAACAAAAAATGATACATTTTTAAAACTCCTATTTCTCTCAACTAAAACTCCACTTTAAATGCTATGTTTACTCATCATCCTCTGCTTATCTCCTATTGTGTACTGTCTGAATCACAAGATTGTTTTTCTTTAAATGGTTTCAGAGTCGTTCTTATCTTCCTCCTCTGAAAATAACCAATGTGACCAAAATAGGGTGCATAAATTAAGAGTGTTATAACTTAACTGACTTTTAAAGCCATTAATGCTGACCTTTGAGACCTGGCTATTTTTCTTTGGTCCCATCAATCACTTCTGTACCACCTCCCCCAATACAAAGGGTTAGACAGATGTGGATACAGTTTGTATTTCTGGGGATTATGGTGGTGGGGAGCGTGGAGGGGAGATGAATAAAGGAATCATCATATTTCTTAGTTCTTATATTTCATAGTGATTATAGTTATATTTAAAGGTGAATAAATGTATGGATGCTAATACCTTTCTATATTTAGGTCATACTACTAGATATTACACTGGAACTTCAGAAGCAAATTATGTCTGAATTGGAAATTCTTTATAAGGTAATTTTTTCTTGGCCATTTTTACTTATAAAGCATGCCTTTGGTATTGGTTTGTAGGCTTGTAACTACTTTTGTCTCATTTTTGTTACAGTGTGATTCGTCATATATCATAGGATTTTATGGAGCGTTTTTTGTAGAAAACAGGATTTCAATATGTACAGAATTCATGGATGGTGAGTTTTCCCTTTTATAAGATACTTTAAAAATGATTTTTGGGGGCTGGCCCGGTGGCACACTGCTACAGTGCGCCGCTTGGGAAGCGCGGCGGCGCTCCCGCCGAGGGTTCGGATCCCACATACAGACTGGCTGCTCACTGGCTGAGCAAGGTGCGGGAGCAACACCGAGGGTTGCGATCCCGTTGCCGGTCCCGGTCCGGTACGGGCGCAACACCGAGGGTTGCGATCCGATGCCGGTCACGAAAATAGACAAAAAGGAAAAAAAAAAAGATTTTTGGAATAGTGTGCTTTCTTTTTTTTTAAATTCAGTTGTAGATCAGTGGTTTGATATTTGATTCTTGTATGCAATATGTCTTTACTTTGAAAAACAGATGTTCTGTTCTTTTAATGTTTCAATAGCCAAAACAGATTTTCTTTTAAAGAAATTTGTTAACCCAGTGTCCTGTGTTTTTCAGAAAGAAATCAGTTCCTAATTGCAAGATAAGAAATTGTTTTTCAACACAGCTGTGTAGCCAAGATGTGTTTAGTTTTTGAACTTTAGCCTTTTCCTTCCTTCTGTATTTTTCATTCATTCTATTTTGGTAGCTCTTTTATGATCTGAATATTATGGCAAAAATATAGATTTCTGGGTACCCTGTCAGTGAAATGATGTCATCATTGTTATTGTTTACTTATTTTAAATCTAAGCAGTCTTTAAATTTTCCATATTCAGTTTTCCAGTGTCTAGTCCATTAAAACACAACATTTTTTAACATGCTTAGTTCCTTGTGGGGATTCTTAGTACATTACTAAAGCTATTAGTTCATGATCCACAAGACTTTTTAATGAGCTCAACATTAACACCTTAATGCTATAATTAGGTGTATAATGTGTTCTATATTAGTTATAACAGATGTCAAGAATTAAAAGTTTTATAACTGTATGGGTAGTATGACATTTGTGGAGACTAACCAGAAAAAGTGGATTCAAAGAGCAATACATGTTGTGATTTCATAACATTGATCCTTTCTTTGAAGTCTTTAATATTAAAGTTGTATTAAAAGATTTTTATTGAGTTATAATTCAAATACCATGAAATTACCCTTTTAAAGTGTACAATTCAGTGGTTTTTAGTATATTCAGAAGGTTATGCAACCATCACCACTGTCTAATTCCAGAACATTTTTATCACCTTCAGGAAGAAACCTCCTACCCATTAGCAGTCACTCTCTGTTCCCTCTTCCCTTTACTCCCTGGCCACCATTGGTGTATTTTCTGTCTTTATGGATTTCCCTATTCTGGACGTTTCATATAAATGGAATCCTACAATGTGGCCTTTGTGTCTGGCTTCTTTCTCTTAGTATGATGTTTTCGAGGTTCATCCATATTGTAGCGTACATGAGTACTTCAAATTTATTGCTGAGTAATATTCCATTATATGGCTGTACCACATTTTGTTTTTTCTTTCTTAGTGGTGGGCATTTGGAATAATTGCACTTTTGCTTAGTTATGAATAATACTACTATGTACATTTGTGTACAAGTTTTTGTGTGGACATGTGTTTGCAGTTCTCTTGGATAAAATTGCTAGGTGATATGGTAACTTTATGTTTAACTCTTTGAGGAACTGCCAAACTATTCCATCCCATTTTACACCATTTTGTATCCACACCAGCAATATGTGAGAGTTCCAGTTTCTCCATGTCTTTGCCAACACTCGTTATTGTGTATCTTTTTTTTTTTTTTTTTTTTGTAGTGTAGTGGGTGTGAAATGGTATCTCATTTTGGTTTTGATTTAGATTTCCCTAAGGACTAATGATGTTGAGCATCTTTTCATGTGCTTGTTGGCCATTCGTATATCTTCTTTTGAGAAATTAAGTATATTCAAATCATTTGTCTTTTTAAAAATGGGTTATTGGTGTTTTTATTATTGAGTTGTAAGAATCCTTTATATATTTTAGACACTGGGCTTTTATCAGATATAGGATTTGCAAATATTTTCTACCATTTTGTGGGTTGTCCTCACGTTCTTGATAGTGACCTTTGAAGCACAAAAGTTTTGAAATTTGATGAAATCCAATTTATCTGTTTTTTTCTTTGGTTGCTTTTGCTTTAGATGTTGTAAGAGCTTTATAGTTTTAGCTCTTATATTTAAATTTTTGATCTATTTTTGAGTTAATTTTTGCATATGGTGAAATAGGGGTCCAAATATATTCTTTTGCATGTAGCTAGCCATTTGTCCCAGCACTGTTTGTTAAAAAGACTATTCTTTCCCCATTGAATTTTCTTGGCATCCTCATTCAAAATTAATTGGATATAAAATGTATTTCTGTACTTTAAATTTTATTCTATTGATCTGTTTGTCTATCCTTTTGCCAGTACCAAACTGTATTTAATTATTTGTACTAGATTACTCTAGTATTATAGTTTTATAATAAGTTTTGAAACTAAGAAGTGTGAGTGCTCCACTTTTCTTTTTTTTCAGGATTGTTTTGGCCATTCTGGGTTCCTTGCATTTCCACTTGAATTTTAGAATTATCATGTCAATTTTTGCAAAAACAGCCAGCTGGGATATTGATAGGGATTGTGTTGAATTTGTACATCAATCGGAAGAGTATTGCTGTTTTGACAAAATTAAACCTTCCATTTCATGAACACAGGATGTCTTTCCACTTATCTAGGTGTTCTTTAATTTTTTTCAGTGATGTTTTATAGTTTTTAGTGTGCATATTTTCAGTGCAATTATTTGTTAAATATATTCCTAAGTATTTATTTTTTTTAATGCTGTTCTAAATTGAACTCTTTTCATAATTTCATTTCTGGATTGTTTACTGCTAAATAGCATAGAACTGTATAGTTCTATGGTATATAATATACTAGAATTATAGTATAGGCTATAATTGATTTTCGTACCTTGATCTTGTATTCTGCAACTTCGTTGAACTCATTCATTAACTTTAATAGTTTTTTTGTGGATTCCTTAGGATTTTCTTGTACAAGATCATGTCATTTGCAAATAGAGGTAGTTTTACTTCTTCTTTTTCAATCTGGATGCCTTTTATTTCTTTTTCTTGCTTAATTACCCTGGTTAGAACCTTCAGTACTGTGTTGAATAGAAGTGGTGAGAATAGATATCTTCTTTTGCTCCTAATCTTAGAGGAAAAACTTTCAGTCTTGCACCATTAAATATGATATATATATTTTTTCCTTTTTTCATGACCGGCAACGGATCGCAACCCTCAGTGTCGCGCCCGTACCGGACCGGGACTGGCAACGGGATCGCAACCCTCGGTGTTGCACCCGCACCTCACTCAGCCAGTGAGCAGCCGGTCTGTATGTGGGATCCGAACCCTCGGCGGGAGCGCCGCCTCACTCTCAAGCGGCGCACTGTAGCACTGCGCCACCGGGCCGCCCCGATATTTTTTTAAATGATGTACTTTTATCATTAAAAAGTATTAAATTTTGTCAAATGCTTTTTCTTTGTTGAAATTATTATGTGTTTTTGGTCCTTTTTTCTTATTAATATGGTGTATTACCTTTGTTGCTTTTCTCATGGTGAACCAGTCTTGCAGTTGTGGGATTATTCCACTTGGTTTTAGTGTACAGTCCTTCTTATATGTTTCTGGATTTGATTTGTTAGCATTTTGTTGAGGATTTTTGCATCCATATTCATGAGGAATATTGGTCTGTAGTTTTCTTGTAGTGTCATTGTGTGTTTTTGGAATCAGGGTAATGAGTTGGGAAGTATTGTCTCTTCTACTTCTTGGAAGAGTTTGTGGAATGATGTTAATTCTTCTTTAAAAGTTTGATAGAATTTACCAATGAAGCCATCTGGTCCTGGGGTTTGCTTTTCTTTTTAAAAATTAATTTATTTATTTATTTTAATTTTTTGTCGATATACAATGTGGTTGATTATTGTGGCCCAGTACCAAAACCTCCCTCCCTCCTCCCTCCTCCCTCTTTTCCCTCTCACCCAACAATGTCCTTTCTGTTTGCTTGTCATATCAACTTCAAGGAACTGTAGTTGTTATGTCTTCTCCCCCCCTCCCAGTTTTTTTTTTTTTTGTGTGTGTGTGTGTGTGTGTGTGTGTGTGTGTGTGTG